TAGAGCCCGGCCACCGCCCCGCCCGCCGCCCCGCCCTCCAGGCCTGCTCATTGGCCTACAGGCACGTCTATCAAGCAGGGCGGCGGGACGCCGCGCCAGGATTGGAGGACGCCGCGGGGAGGGGCGGGGCTTAGCGAGGCGGCCGCGGGGCGGGCTCACAGGCTCCTCCTACCCCGCCGCCGGGGGCGGGCGGAGCCGTCCCCTCCGCGCCACGTGACCCGGTCGGTCACGTGCGTCGCAGCGGCGGGTGCCCGCCCCGGCCCCTCGCGCGCCCCGCCTCCCGCGGCGCCATCTTGCTGCCCGCCCGGCGCTGCTCCCCGCGCGGCGGCGCCGCCCGGTGGCGCTGAGGGGGGGCCGTAAGGAGGGGTGCGGGGCGGTGGTGGTGGCAAAACAGAGTAGGGAGATGAAATAAATGTATTGCCTATTGCAAGCTAGAGAAGCGTGAAACAAAAAATTTATAAAAACATCTTCCACCCATCCGCTCTTCCACCTCCTCCCCCTGAGCGACACGGGAACAGGGAATGGGGGCTGTGGTCAGTCCCTAACGCTTCATCTCCACCAGCCCTCGGCCACTCTGCCCCTGCTCCTCTCCATGGGCCGCAGCCTCCTCCAGGCCACATCCACCTGCTCCACCGGGGGCTCCTCCACCCACGGGGGGGCTGCAGCATGGAGATCTGCTCCATGGGGGACCCATGGGCTGCAGGGGGACAGCCTGCTCCACCAGGGCTCCTCCCTTCTTTGCTGGTTTTGGTGTCTGCAGGGTTGTTTCCCTCATATTTTCTCACTCCTCTCTCCCAGTTTTTGTTGTGCAGCATTTTTTTTCACATTTCTTAAACCTGCTCTCACAGAGGCACAAACACTGCTTATCGGCTCACCTCTAGCCAGTGCTGGGTCCCGTTTGGAGCCAGCTGAAACTGGCCCTTACCTAACACGGGGCAGCTTCTGGATTCTTCTCACAGAAGCCACCCCTGCAGCTTCTCGCTACCAATACCTTGCTATGTAAACTCACTACAAGCAGCAGGGCCACCTGGGGAGCCTGGCCCAGCCGCCAACCGCAGGTGGCTTCCTCATGGTGCTGCTCGATGCCTGCTGGCCCCCGTTCTGTGGTGCTGAGGGCACAGAGAGCAGCTCCTTCACCTCATGGGAACTCTCTTCATCATGCCTCTGCCTGTTTTCTGCCAGTGTAATTTAAGCTAAAACCTCAGCCCCTTTGCTGTGTTCACAAATGCTTTTGGTGACTTTGTTTTCTTTTCGGCCCAGGGCAGCTCCCTTCACTGTGGTACCACCACTGAGGAAAGTCATTCAGCAGCTTTAGGTCAGCACCAATTTAGTACCAATAGTACCGCAGTTTACACTTTCCAGTATGAATACAGACTTTTTTTCCTTTAAAGAGTTTGTTTCCAGTGTAACTTAAGTGACATAAAGTTTACAGAATATGACCTCAAGATCCATTTCCTGAAAGCTGATGCTTAGCTAGTGGATTTGCACTTGCGCTGGTGCTGTTGGTTATTTGCATGCAGGACAACGTCGTACTTCCTCGCTGAATACCATACTGATTCTCAGGTCCTGTCTCCAGTTTATTACAGTGAACCAAATGGGAAGAGTAACTGCAGTTCTCCACAGCTTTGTGTCATTTTCAGTTTCAATAAGGAGGCTCTTTATTCAATCATCCAGGTCGATAACGAAAATAATAAATACTGCTTACAAATTCTATGATTTGTCCTATTTTGAACAAAAAACAGTGATAACCATTATATGACTAAAGTTCATCTTAACATGATCTCAGTGTTGGTTTCAACATCATGTGCTATGATTACCAGCATCTAGAGATGCAATTTCTCCTACACACCTAAGACCTACTACTTGAAAAGACGGCCGTTGGGTTTATTTGATATGATTTCTATTTAGTACATCTATAGTAAGTGGTACTTCTCTCTCTCTTTTACCTCTCCCCCAAAGGGACAAACCATTTATCAGCTCTCTGTCCCATTAGCTTTTATAATCACTGGGAAGGCTTAACTTACGCTGAACACAGTGAGTCATTCCCGCAGGGGAGTTGTCCTCTAACAGGAAGCAAATCATTGGAGCACTGCAGCATGTGTTTTTACAACATCTTTTCCACAAAAATCCCCAGATGGCCATTTAGAATTCTTTTAAGCATTAATGAAAGTTGAGGACCCAGCCTTTCTTTTCTCTGTTTGCAATCTGAGAAGATTTTTTTTTCACATTTGTTTTAAAGGGTGCTCTGCCTTAAGCTATAGCTTTGGGAATTATCTAATAAAGTGGTAATCTTGACTGGCACTTTACAGAACCACAGAATATCCTGAGTTGGAAGGGAACTACAGGGATCACTGATTCCAACTCTTGGCTCCACACAAAACCACCCCAAAATCAGACCCTATGTCTGAGAGCGTTGTCCTTCTTGAACTCTGGCAGCTCAGTGCCATGACCAATGCCCTGGGGATCCTGTCCCAGTGCTCGACCACCCTCTGGGTGCAGACCCTTTCCCTAACCCTCAGCCTGACCCTCCCCTGTCCCAGCTCCATGTCGTCCCCTCAGGTCCTGTCGCTGTCCCCAGAGAGCAGAGCTCAGCGCCTGCCCCTCCGCTCCCCTCGTGAGGGAGCTGCAGGCCGCCATGAGGCCTCCCCTCAGCCTGCTCTGCTCGGGGCTGAACAAACCAAGGGACCTCAGCTGCTCCTCATACACCTTGCCCTCTAGACCCTTCACCATCTTTGTGGCCCTCCTTTGGACACTCTACATTAGTTTTACGTCCTTCTCATACTGCGGCACCCAGTACTGGAGGTGAGGCCGCACCAGTGCAGAGCAGAGCAGGGCAGTCCCTTCCCTTGACGGGCTAGGAATGCCGTGCCTGATGCACCCGGGATATGGCTGGCCATTTTGGCTGCTGGGGCACACTGCTGGCTCATACTCAACTCACTATTGACCAGAACCTCCAGATCCCTTTCCATGGGAAAAGATCTCTCCAGCCTCTCATACCCATTTAAAAATCTAGTATTCATGATTGAAGGAAGAAACTTGAAAAGCATTTTCCTTTAAGGGGAAAAAAATCTTTACAATTACGGTCAAAAAGCACTAATCTTTCACTAATTTTTCTAGAGTATGACTGAGATAAAGCTCTTTAATGGGTTACACTGTAAGCAATGCAACGCAAAATCAGAACAGCAAAGTTACCTTTGACATAGTTCCTCAAAAACCTTTCAGATCATCAGTTTTTAGTCATGATTTACAAAATTGCTTTTCAGGTGAATACCTGGTGACTTCATAAAATTTGGGCAACAAAATTGCTTTATACTTATTCCTATCTTCACTGCTCTGGTAAGTCCATTTCCAAAAAGGGTTTTCAGGTTTGGAAGTTGGTGGGAGATCTATCAAAACGTCTGCTTTTGGTGTGCATTGCTTGTGCTGGCTTTGGATAACAACCAGATTTTCAACTTGCCTGCTTTTCTTTGAGACACTTTGATTGAGAATGCTGCTATAGTAAAGGGGTATATTTTCTTTGAATAATAAAACGTTAGTTGTTATTTTTTGGCATAAACATTCTAGTTCCTTTACGCGGAGCCTGGCCTGCTCCGCAACGCTTGGGCTCGTGCAGCAGGCATGCAACAACCAGGTAACAGCCATAAGTTCGTATCACTCCCACTGACATGAAATTGGTTAGTGCTGCTGCATCCCACTCACAAGGTGTGGCCCACCGAAGGTGTTTGAAAGAACAAATCTATGGCAAGGAGGAAATTCCTGTCTCCATTCAGTGTATCATCCTGAAATAGTCACTGCTCAGTTAAGGTGGTGTGAATTACTACAGCATGATAACAGTTTGCACTATCTAGTCCCTTAGTCTGCCTGAAGGAGAAATAGCAAGAAGGACTAAAAGGATCACATTCTCAGTCTGAACGTCTGGTTCTTCTGGTTCTCCTTTTCAGTACTTCTAAGAAAATACCAAAAATTACAGAGTTGCAGCACATCTTTTCAGTGGCATGGCGATCAACATACATGTGCTCTGTATTCTGACTTCTCATAAAATACCCAGTCACGTTCATTTCAGGATAATGATCGTAGCTGAGCCCAAAACTGCCTCATACTCTCGCACAAATAATATAGTCAATAATTTCTATTACAATGTAAAGCTTAAGCTGTGAGAGACAGCTTTGTTAGAACCACCATCTGTCTGATCACATTGCACTCCAAATACCAGGTATGTTGTCTCGATCTTTTGATAAATGTTAGAGTGTAACTAAAATTCTGACCAAGACAAATGCTGTTCTGCATACATTCCTCCTTTGAGAGCAAGAGCAGGAGAACTGGTTGTCTGTGGCCATTATTCACTATGTAATGTGATTCTGGATTAGTACAGATTTCAGTATGATGTAAGGAGGTAATGTGTTCTACATAGACAAGAACACCGTGTTCACCTGACACTTGAGAAGAAAGGTGGTTTTAAGCAGAAAGTACACAAATTTCCTGTAACACCAAGAAAGAAAAGATTTTCAGTGTGGATCCCTGTTTCCATGGTTTTCATTCTCTCTACCAGACTGGCCGCTGTCTTTGTATGGCTTGAGGAGGATATCTCTGTTGAGCTCCTAACAAATAAAATTTCTTGTTGGGCAGGAGGGAATGAGTTTCACAGGGTTCCTCAGGTCTTGGATCCCAGATAGATCCCAGCCCAAACATAGACTCAGAAGAAGATGGAAAGGATGCTTTCATCCTTGTCTTTACTCTGAATATTTTGTCTCTTGTAAAAATATATATATATATTTAAAATGTAATACGTTGTTTATAACAAAAATTAGTTGTCTGTTTCAGTTAACCAAATTACCTCATATTGCCTACCTAGTCTTAATCAGAAGATAATTAACTGACTATTGTTTTACCTGATAACATACACTTATAAAGTTCCTTAAATAAATATCTGCTTTATGGGAATTAATTACATTTTTTATTTCAAGACCCAGGTGCTGTTCTGGGGAAATCAACAATATAACATGAATGACACAAGGCATCAGTCTCTATTCTTTGTCAGTCTGCCAGATTTACAAAAACTCTGTGCCACTACAATAACACTGAGTTCCCAGCTACCAGAAAGTGAGACAAGGAGCACACAGATAAAAACGTGCAGGTAATGAATGTTGAGGATTATTATTTTCAGAAGCTGCCAGTGGTTGCTATTCAAAGATTTTATTAGTACTACTAGAGTTAACTGTAATATAATTAGTAGTAAACACTATAAAATTGTTCCAAGTAATTTAAGTTGTTGGTGGGGGACTTGCTAGGTATTGGAGAAAAAAAACAACAACTATTGTGTTTTTAAATGTGATCATCTAAAACTAACAAGACCACCTACTTGGAACTGATAAACAATTAAAATTGTTTTCTGTTAACATGCAAATTTGGGTTGCTTTAGAGCATCCAAATTTTTGCTATTGAGCCAAATCAGTACCATCTTTTGAGCTATTGTAAACGCTTTATGTAGGTTGAGACTCAGTGAACAGAATACTCAGAAAAAGTATGTACTCTGCTCAGTGCTCACAAACCTTTATGTTGTTCCCTGTAATAGTAAAGGGAAGAAATGAGAAATTCTGCCAAATGGAACGCTTTGAGGCTTTGAGGCTAGTTTGCCAAAGGCCTGTAGATTGCATCTTAGACCCATTGTGAGTGGTTTAAGAGCAAGTGACTTGGACTAGTCCAACCTACTACACTGAACCACCAAAAAAACGATTAAAAATTGAATGTATTTTGGTTGAAAGGGTAAGGAAAATAAATGTAGGCTGATAGAATAAGATATGGAAGTTTATTGATGATTTTTTTATGCCTTCTTTGTAGACAGTTATTATTCCTGTATCAAGACATCCTTTCTGCACCTGTTATTGGAACACTAAACCAAATTTCAGCTGTAATGGCGGTCAGTAATCACTCTGCAAATAAGTATATGTAGTTATATGTGATGTATGCTTCTTTAAAAAAAAGTGTTGTGTTTTTTTGAAGACGAAGGATAAGCAAAATTACATAATTCAAAGCAAACTTCTACTCGTATGCGTTAGTATTGTGGATGACAGCTTAGGTCATTTTTTCCTTTGACAAAATGACCTTTTCAGATGGTGAACCTTTTGTGGGACAGAATGGACTCAGTAAGATGCCACTCAGCTCACAATGAGATCAGCAGGAGCAGCTTCTGCCATTTTGTTTTGGGCAGTCTTTTGCTTGCTTGGTAATATATCCTTACCTGGAAATGAGATTACATTATGACAAATGCCTTGAACTTATTTTAGCTATCATTCTCCTTTAAAATACAGGATCTGGTATTTTCTTTAAGTATTCCTCAGTATGTTTTTCTAAAGTAGAGACACCGATGGACCAAAATTTACTTTATGATTTGATAATACACCCCTTAATTGCAGACACTTGATTTCTATTTTATTTTTTTAATTTTTTTAGATACCATTTTACAAATCAGGAATATGTCAAGCCTATATAGAGAGACAAGGAGCTACCGTAAGTGCTGAAAGATGTCACATTTCTTCAGATTATTAGGCATTTCTGTGATTGCTGTTACCAGAGATGAGTATGTTTCATAGGACGTGCAATTTGCTCTGCAGAAGCCAAATTTCAGGTTAAAAATAAATAAATCTGTCTCATAGACAAAATGTCTCCTAGGAATCTGGGTGTAGTAAGTATACTTGATCAGAGTCAATCCATCATATAGGTCCCATATATTCATCAATTCATCATATAGGTCCCATGGGTGAGGGTGTTCAAAGAGCAGAACTACCTCCCCATTCATATTTTGTTTCTGATTGTCACAGAGGATTGTCACAGAGGACCAAGCCAAACCAAGACAAAAACACAGAGAAGAAATGGAACCCAAGAGCTTAACAACTTTTGTTTTCAGACCATTATTCACATGTTTTACTATCTTGTATGCAATGTTTATGGGGTTTATGATGGGTGTACTAAAACTGCTAAGTCAAAAAAAAACAACTGATTGCAGTCAAAGCCAGTAGCTCTGGTGATTTATTTGCACAAACAGTTCGATATATTTTTCTTGGTTACCAGTTGTGTAAATGCATCTCTGCTTTTTTAAAGACATACTGCTCAAATACGGTCGCATTACAAAACTGGTTTATGTTTTGTGTAACTGACTCATCATGGTCATTTGTGTAACTGACGCATCATGGTCAGATTTTCCAAAAGCAACAGATGTTTAAAATGCCTATATTTAATAACCATAAGCAGCAAGCAGATCTTTGCAGAATCTCATTAGAAACCTCTTGAATGTGTATTATTTAGATCTTTTTACCACCACATTTTTTTTTTCTTTTTTTTTTTCTTTTCTTAATATCAACAGCAGGCTGTACAGGACAGAGTCAAATAGACAAGTAGTACTGCTAGATGAACAAAGCTACATTCACATATCATTCTTGTGATTGCAAGTGAATGTCTCTGGTCTTGAGTTTGACAGCAGAGTTAATATATGTACATTTGGGGAGCTATGGGTATTATCTGGAAAGAGATGCGTACCTAATAGAGTGTTCCATACTTCAGCCAGTCTTATCCGCGACTCTTTTATCAGCTGTATGAAACATCATATGAATTGTAGCAAACCTTACTCTGATGACCCATGAAATCTAAATGCCTACATTGAATATTGTGCTAACTGTCCTTTGTAGCTGTGTAGATGAAAAGTAAAGATGTGTAACACTGGGATTTGGCTCCAAGATACAGTAGCAGTGTCTTTGGTAAAACTTTCACTGAAGCCTTTACAAAAGTGTATTGAATGATTAATGTTTTTCTTCTCCTTTCTCACTGCTGTTATTAGCTGGAAGAACCGCAAAGAGTTAGTCCAACCATTCTCCAAAACTGCCTCTCCTACACACTTACAGCCAGACTTGCACCCATGTGGAACAAGGCTGGTCATCTCTTGGTGCAAGGTAATTCACCTGGGCCAGGGATCAAGCATTTAATTTTCAGTTCGTTATTATTGCATTTTTTTTCCTAAGTTAATTTCCATATTAATAATTTACATAATTATTTCATTATTCTATTTTTATTTGATTGCATTTTTATTGTTTCTTTATCCAAGTTAACAATCCAAAATGATATATCATTCACTTTTGCACTTCCTTATCCTGTTATTTGTAATAGACAAAATAATTATTTCGACTGAATGCAACATACCAGACTAATCATTTCCAAAACAAATATTGTTGGACAGTAAATATCTTCTAAAAACTCAGCCTGTTTTTCAAATTCATGCTTTCATCAGTGGCACTTCTGCACTTGGATTGCATGTTTTTCTAATACAGAAGTGTTTTTCTGTCAGACCATCTCCTTTTACCAAGCTCTGTCTTTTTAGATAGAAGTTCCTTTGCCTAACACCTCTACCCTAATTCCTATCTAGGGGTGAATTACCAAAGTGTGGACAAATATGCATTTCAGATACATGTGCTCTTACCTAAGCAAAGCAATTGTGTAGATCATTTAAAATATACATTGAGAAGAGTGCATGTTGTCTTATTTCCAGTCACAATATTAGCAGTGTCTTTGTTTTCAGCGTCTTCAAAACCTATAACTTTTTAAATGAAATCAGCTTTCAGGAATAACAGGTAGAAGTTGAGGCCTAGATGGTTGCTGATACAAAACTAGCTTCAGGGAAACATTGTCTAACAACAATGTGCTCCTGGTGCATACAGCTTGTCTAATCATATCTATGCTAAATCTGGGGCAAAACTCATGATAGATGGTAAAATACATAGTAATACTATACAGGTTTGCTTTTGAGCTTAAGAAATGTATTGACTCTTAGTCAATTAAAAATAATTCTATGTTTAAATTCCTTTTTTGGGAGAAAAAATTATGTGTAATTCTTTGTCCATTAATATCCTTCCATATATCTTTCTTTTAATTAACAAGAAAATGAGTCAGTGAAAATTTAATTGATGTGGAGGGGTTTTCTCTCTGTAAAGGGACAAACTTTTCATCACTCTTGACACAAATGAAATCATGTGATTTCTTCATTTTTTGCATGAGGACATTAGGCATACATTATAGCTTAGAAAATAATGTTTATCTATTTTGTTTATTAAGGTAAAGATTTTTTGTCTCGTACAGGAAAGCAAAATGCAGTTGGTAAGTACAGTTTTCTGTTAGTGGTAAGCCTGTGTGAGCAAGGTGTGATTATATGAATTTATGATTGAAATACTCCCATGATCTTCATATTATCAACACAATGCCTTTTCATTCTGAACTAGTCTCAGTCAAGTTAGACTTGATGATTGATAATTCTTTGTATGTAATAGTTGTCAGCTCAACTGCACCCTTGAAAAATTACCCACAAAAAAAAAAAAAGGTAACCTTTCTACTATTAATCTATGTCCATAGATTGAAACCTACCATTAAAACATTATGGTTATAACAATTAAATGCACTTGCCTAAGATTACAAGTCTTGAAAGTGATGTGAAAGCCCGATAGTAATAGATAAGCAAATGAACTAAACTGACTGTACAGTGTTTGTTGTTTGCAAAATTAAAGGCACAAAGCATGCTGCTTAGCTATTGCAGAAAATACGAAATTAAATTTGTATTTATACATCCAGTGTAAAAATTAAAGATTACATTTTGGGATATTGAAGTCTACATTTGCAACAGGACTACATATTCAGGAATTTAATGCATTCAGTCCCCATGTTAAAGCTTACTTAACACTGGGTGAATATTCTGGGGAAGCATCAATAAGTGCTTGCCTTTCTCATATATATTGACCATTTTTGGATGTGTAACACTGGGTTTGATAACTGAATACAGCTGATGGTTATTTTTATATTAACTACATTTGCTTTGAAAATGGGTATTTTTTATCAATCATATAGGTGTCAAACATCTGGTTGAATATACAACCATGGGAGCCATACACCTCACCTTCATAGGGAGGTGTATGGATTGTAATTGATTATTTTTATTTTTTTTCCCACAGTTAAAATGCAATTAATTTTTATTTCCACGCCTAGGAAGTTTTGCATTTTGATTTTCAAACTCAGCATTTTGACTAGCAGTTATTTTAAATAAACATTTGGTTTAGCTTTCTAACAGATGTATTGTAGTTCAAAACAGGGCTTTGGACTTTGTGTTTATTTTAGTTCTAGACCTCAATGTATCAGAGACACAGCTTTGCATCAGCGTGGAGGCTTGCTCAATTCGGTTACCACCCCCTGAGGTATAAAACAGTTGCATTTTCTGTGGCTGTATTTGTCATGCTAAACTTTATCTTCTTTTCTGTAAGGTGACATAGTATTAGTGTGATGGGGAGGGAAGTGCTTATTTCTGACTGTGTTAAGACAGTAATCACAGTCTGATTTTTGGGTGGTCCTTTGGGGACCCAGGAGTTGGACTCGATGATCCTTGTCGGCCCCTTACAACTTGGAGTGTTCTATGATTCTATTGACCATATACACTGCTTTTGAGTGCATAACACCCGTATGTTACCTTTATTGATGCATTCTAGCAAGCATACCAAACATCTTTGTAAAACAGATTCTATTTGAAATACCTCTTGAAAAACCCTAGCAGATTATAGAAGTCAATTGTATTTATGCTTCTAGAGTTCCTTCTAGCAGTGTTTTCTAGAAGGCATTCACAGTCTCACTGTAATACATAACCAGTTTTGAGTAACTTCTTAAAAGTGAAGCTGCAGGTAAGTTGTCAGCACTATGTGTAAGGTCCCTGGATATATTTTTTTTCTGGAATTTGCTTCATTTTCTCTGTAGCTGCCAAAATACAGGAGCAGCCTGTACCATGCAGCTAGTGAACATAATTAATAAATTAATAAATCATAGTTGAGGTTAAAAAATGTCTGTCCTTTCTGACTGCCGTGTTACCTTTGTTGATAAGTTCCTGCATACAGGGGCATATTTGTCAGGCTGGTTGGTTTCTTTCCAAAATTAGTATCTCAGATCCCAACTCTTCTTTTTTAGAACAGAAAAATAAGATTTATTTTGTGAGCTAGTTGGACAGCATAAGTATTAAAGCTGTCTTTATGAATCCAATTACAAAATGACACAAAGAAATAATAGAAGTGATCACAGTGTGACTTCATTATCAGTTTGACCATTTTCATACTTTTCTAAAACAGAAATTGCTAGATATTCTTCTCCAGTAATAAATGCAAGCCTTGAGAGATCATAGAAAGAGAAATCTCTGTTTGATTGGCTCTGACACTCAATTTTTTCCATTGTGAAAAAGTATGGTGTTTTGTGACTTCTCACAGGGTGAAGCTACATGTCTCATTAATTCTGTTGCTGGGATCCTTGCACTTGATTAGGAAGGATGGCACAGTTACACAGTTACTAGACTGTCAAACATGAGTTTCTGGGTTGATTCTTTTTTTTTTTAAATGCATAAAAGTGAGACAGTTCAAGTTTGGGAAATTTGTTCTGTACTGTTATTTATTAAAGCACTTAAATTTTAAATCTCACTGATTTAAGTAGCCTTTAAAACTTGTACTTATGTAACTTTGGGCAGTGTAGGCTCTAGCATAAGATAGCGTGCAATTTGATAATGAGATATCTTATGAAATAAGCAGGCTGTGAGTCCTGATAGGAGAATAATAAGGTCTAAGCTTCACTGTATTGTGATATACAATTCTTTTTGAAATTATAAGTTTCGTACTGCTATGGAGATATTTGCAAATACCTTTTTTGTTTTTCCTGTTTTAAGCTGGAAGATTTTGATATTTCAGCAAATGCCATAAAGCTGTTTGCCAGCAATGAAAACACAGTTATTCACAGACACTCCATATTAACTAACTGGTGCTATGTTTTGCCAAGGTAGGCATCTGTTTTAATTCCAGCAGAAGCAAACATTTCCTGTAATGTATGACATGCAAATTGCAAATTTAGTACTAGTGATAAGAACACATCTGTTTTATAGACCGTTTTACGTTCAGGAAGTTTTCTTTTAGGTCTCAATGTTATGGAAAATGTGAAAGAAAAGTTAATGAATCATAAATTACGCACCTAAGTATCATTTCATTTTTAGTAAGCTCTTTGCTAATGTGACATGTAAAAATGTTACTTGTCCTCAAGTATAATTATAGCAGAAAGAGTCAATTTAAAGAAAAAAATAATCATCTTTGACACAAACTATTTTCACCTCTGATTTTCATCACAGCTGTATCAGGTGTAATGATACATTTTCTTTTGTTCTATACTCACTGGTAGTGAGCATTACAGATGAGACTAATCAGACTGGTAGGTTCCAAGCACTTTTCCATACTTCAGCAAATATCACTATGGTTTTGTCATAAACAATATGAGCTAAAGATGTTAGCTCTCCTAACCTAAAAATAATACATACTTTCAATGCCAAAAATAAGAATTATTTTTGTAAGAAGTCCAATGTATTTTCAGCTGAGTTTTGAGACATCCTATGTAAACATTTCTTCTTTACCTGTGCACAGCATGAAAATGGGTCAGATCATAAACATCAGCCATGTAATTCCTCCAGAATCGCCTTTCCGTTCATATGAGGAATTTCAGATGCACTGGAAGAATCTGGTAAAAAAAAAAAAACATATTACTGTATTTTTCCTTCCTGCTTTGTGGATATTGAATTTATATTTGTATTACACATTTGTGAGTGTCCTTTAGTGTTTGTTTGTGGTTTTTTTTTTTAGTACGGATATATTCTTCCAGAGGATCTTGAAGAGAGAAAAATATACTTGAGTGTTTACTTCAAGCCTATAGGGGAAAGGTTCTTTACGTATCCTTTGCAAATATTTTTCTTATATGCCCTCTACTACTCTTCTATCTAAGACCTACCTTCTCATTTTTGATAACACCACATTTTCTTCTTCCGTAATTTCATAGATGTCACTGGAATTGTTTCATTAGACAGTTAAATTAATACTGTGCATTGTTCCTGTAAAAATATGTCCACCAAAGATTCATTTTAAAGATAATTTTCCTGGTAGGAAAGACTTGACTGAAGATTACTTATACTGAGTAATCTTTATTGCAGTAGATCAGTATGGTATAAACATATTGAAGTCCTTTGACTTTCTAAGCTTCAGTCCCTTAAGAAAGTAATGATTTTGTTCACCTTGTTGAAATATGTTTAGACATGCTTATGGTTTGTTCCCAAAGAAGAAGATTCATAATGATAGAAATGTAAAGAACCGTGTTATGTATCCCTGAACACTATTCAGCTACCCTCTAAGTTGCATTCGAAGCCAACCAGTGCAGTATTTTGCTAGAATGGATTCAGAAAGTGTGTTGAACTCTTTTATTTCTGATCTGAAGTGTAAGTTTTCACATCTGTGTGGATTTCCAGTAAAGATGACAAGCAAGGCACTTTATGCTACACAGGAACTCTCCAGGGCTCCAGTATGTGTAAGGTTTTTTTAAATAAACTTACTAATGGCAGGTAGTTTGCTTATGGTATGCAGTAGTCCATATCATAGTCAGAACCCAGTAGTAGCATGGAGGTATATTTTTCACAATGAAAATTTATCTTCTTTTTAGTAAATGTGTAATCTGGTATATATTTCTATTTGACACTGTTATATTGTTGTTCACATGATAAATACAGTTTTTAAAAAGTTGGGGTTAGTATTACAGCATTAATTAGTTGCTGTCAGTTTGTGCTGTTCTGTTGTCCTCATTTTGCAGTTGGGTTTCGAGAACTTTCTCACACCTCTTCCATAAAAATGATACTTAAAAAAAATGGTTTGTAATTTATTTTTAAAAAGCAAACTGAGGAAAAGATAAAATTGCATGGATTTAGGCATTTAAAAGCACTAAAACTGTAAGATTTATTCTGTGCAGTAAAGGAAAGGAGGCAGGCAATCACAATGCCTGTAATTTGAGGTTTTAACAAAGGCTGAGACTCAAATTTCTTTGGTCATAATGTGTAAGAGGAGAAGTAAAGTAATTAATTCTGAACAAAGAATACTGACAGGAATGGCAGAGATTCTGAAATGGTATAATCCTCTTTGAAAACACAGTTCCTGTTTATGGCTCCTCCGTGATCAAAGCTAAAATGGCTCCTCCTTGTCATCTGCAGTTTTTATAGATATCCAGGCTCTCTTTTGCTTGGAACGTCCTTAGAAGGCTTAAAAGACAAGGAGCACTGTCAGAAAAAGTCTCTTTGCAGACCCCCCTCAAAAGGGCATTACCCAACTGGAAAGCACTAAACCAAGATAATGGCTGTAATTTAAGTCTTTCCTTCTGAAAAATATGATATTCCAGCATAGTTTATAAACAAACAACCGGGGGAGGAGAAAACAAATCTTCACTTGCAATGACAACAAAATACTGCTTAAAATACAGATTGCTCTAACTCAAAATGGGAATGCATACAATTATACATTGTAGTGTGTATCAGGTATGTGTCATATAGTGATGCATTAGGTGTCACTGTCAAAATTTTAAATCCAGTTCATTCATTGTAACAACTCTTGTTGTATTGCAGGAAATAAAATCTAGGCATATGAAATTGGCTGATGAGATGGTTTGTGTAGTATCTCTAACCCAGGCTCCTCCAAAGAAACAGACTTTGCCCAGCGTTTCTTCACCATGCAGTACAGAAAATAGCCACTGGATGGAGTGTTTGATCAAAGAGCCAAAACCACATATTTTTTCGAGTAGCAGAAGTATGGAAAAGGTTAGCGTTGAAGTAAAAGAGCAATCAGTGAATCAGAGGCAAATATCAGGAGTATCAGATTTATCAGCTCTGAAATCCTTAGGAATGCCTGTAAGTTCAGCCTTTGAATTGCCCCGCAAAAAAGTCAACAGAACTATACCAATTTTCAAAGGAAAGTTAATGCAAATGAACGGAAAGACTACAAATCAAATTGATGGCAAGAAAAGAAAAAATGCTGAAAGACATTCACCAGTAAAAAATATGGGTGCTTCCTCTTCTGCGTCGACTGTTTGCAAGTCCAGCATAACTCAAGTTTACAAACCTGTTCAAAATACGTCAGGCAAAATTCCTACCCACAGCAGCTTTATTCAGATAATGACTGAGAAAGCCTACATAAAACAAGGTGTATCTGTATTTCAGTGGAAAAGAGAGCCCGGTGGACAAATGACTACTTCTGTTTATTCTGATAAGTCAGCTGCAGGTCACAATTCAGGCCAAGAGAGTCACAATAAGGCAAACTCTCCTTCCTTTCTGAAGAATGGTGGGCCAGTGATTTCGAAATCTAACATCAGTCCAAGCCTGAATACACATGCATCTATTACTTCCAGTTCAAGAAGGGGAAAAATGTTTGCAAGTCCAAATGCCACTCAAGTTCTAGAGCAACAACACCAGTCAAAGAAAGCACATTTGCAGATTTGTAAATTAGACAATGGAATGACAAATTGCAATTTATCACAGCAACAAACAAATGAAGGACCAGGGTTAAATATTCACAAATCCATCTTAAATGATACGATGTGCATCACCAAAAACAATGAAAGGAAAGCATCTTGCAGTTGTAAGGATTGTATTGCAACAACCTGTCTTCATTCCAGACCTAACTGTGAACAGGTACAGTAAATAACACTCACTCTCACTGGTTGTCACAAATTCTGTATATTCTAAAACAACAATAAGCAATAAAGAGTGTGACTTTTATGATGCTCCACCAACATTCTTGATATAGTTTTCTAAAATTTGTACCATATATATATATGCTTTCATCCACTGCTGGTTTTTTTTTTTGTTTGTTTTTCCAAAAGGGATTATTTACTTTGTCCTCTGAGATACACACTTTTTTATTGGGACTTTTAAGGTGGGATAATTAGTTTTAATTTCTTTAAAAGAGTTTATCGGCTTATCAAGATTTGTATAAGGAGAGTATGGTGAATTTTTTTGTATTCATTCTGTCTTCTTACCAAACCTGACTGCAGTGCATATAGACAAACATGGAAGATTTTGAAAATACAAGTTTAAACAAAGTTTAACTAAAATCAGAAGTTCCAACAAGAAGACTACCTACTGCGCATAGTAGGTTATCTTTAAAGGTCCCTTCCAGACCCTAACATACTGTAATTCTTTGGGCATAAGGAAAAAAATCTTCAGAGAGAGCGTGTTTAAGCACAGGAACAATTTGCACGGAGAAACTGTTGAACTGTTACCCACTCAAATTCTCTAAATGTGACTGGGTGAGATCCAAAGCAATGTGATCGAATTTTGAAGTTATCCTTGATTGGAGTAAAAGTTACAAATAGATGACCTCCAGGCATCCTTTATAGCCTAAATTTCTATGATTCTGACTGCATTTTAATAAAATAAGTAGTTGAGCTGATTTCAGTGCAGTTTTTATGAGGATGATGTCCCGCAGATTGAGCACATGGGTACAAATGTGTTTATCACTGTCTTCACCTATATAATGTAATTGCAGGATTATCTCAACTTTGTGTTATTAGCGCGTATTTTGCCATTCCATGAGCACAGCCCTTCAGTTGTGTCAGTTCCTAAATGCCAAACAATCAGAAATTAAACAGCATAAGATTATTACCATCTGACAGTCACAGATTAGCTTTCAGAGTGTGAAAACATGCAGCAGTTGCTAAATGGGATAAGTAAGGTTATCAAGATGATGCCTGGGTTGAGGAGCAATGAGGTTATCTGAATAAATCATGTTGGTGTTAGTGGTGATAAAAATTATAGATCGGGATGTGTTGTGTTGATAAGATCTGATAGACAAGATAGTGTGGTTTTTGTTTCTAATAAAGGTACAAATGTCTTTATTTTAAGATGTTTACAGGAAAAGAAAATCTGAGATGTGAGGAAACACTGGCATCAAAACTGACTTACTCAACGAAGGAGAGCAGCATGGAAGCATCAGTAAAGAAAGGTGGTGCCAGAAGGAGACAGGTAAAAAACAAACAAACAAACAAACAACAACAAAAAAAAACACCACACATACACACCTTAGCCCAGTCTATGAGGACTTGAATGAAAAGATAAAAAGGAAAATGTCAGTTTTATCATTTTATCATGTTCCACTTAAAATAGGAAAACCAATAAATATTTTTGAGCCCACCCTGGGTGAAATGAACCTTAACCATCAGTTATGTTAATATTACTTCAAACACGCATCTAAAATGTTCCTCTTCTGCAAAAGGTAATACTAAAATGAAAGCATTCAATGATGGTATATAAAGTAAATATGCTTCTGAAGCAGGTTTTCTGATTCTACAGAAAACAGTTTGATTATCTCTAATTGAATTATGGGCCTGCTCACTGGATATGTAAATAACTCATCTTCAGAACTTGAATTCAGCATTATTCAGCAGAAATGAGCTCTTAGAGGCTACTTGTAATTCAGTGTGGGATTTTAAAAGATGTGTTTTCTTATTTTTAAAATATATTTCAGTTGTAATTGTCTTACTAACAAGAGCCAACAGCAGCAATTAAATAGCTTCTTAATACCAATTGGATTTTTTTTATGCCTTTTCCTCTGGATTCTGCTCTAACGTTGTGTGATGCAGTGTGTGCTTTTAAATTCCTCCTCAAACTATGTTTCCTGTGATTCTTAAATATTGCTTTTACCTATCTCTGGGCTTCATTTCTGTTTTGCAATATCAGGTCTTTAAAACTTGGTTGTATCATCAGTTAGCCTTTCTTCCTTACAACCACATTCTTAATGTTTTCACTACCTAGAAATGAGGCAGATTAGCAAGGAAAAGGTCCTGTGTCTCCAAAGCTCAGTAGAGTTGTACATTCTTATATAGATATGTAATTATTTGTGCTAATAGGCAACTGAACATACGTGCAATTACTTTACAAAATAAACCAGAAGGAGGAAAAGTTACATTTTACTCCCTTTCCACCCAGATTCTCTTGCCTTTTCTATTTTATCTGAAGCAATCCCATGACCATTAGAGGTCTCCTTACCCGTGCTCAGTATGAATTGCCTGTGCCTAATCACATGGTACAATATATAAACTTGTCAAACCTACTCCTAAACTGTTAAGAACTAAATCATTCAGATTCTTCCACTTAATTTGCATTTGTTAACATTAGGTTTGATTTGCCATCTTTTTGTTTTGTTACGTTTTTCAAGCCAAATGGGACAATTCTGGGGCTTTGAATGGTGATTAAAAGAGCACAGCCCGTGCTGTGAGTGCAGTTCAAATGGCCAGCAGAGCAGCCCCAAGGGCCTGCAGCAGGAACTGGGGAGCACCCTAGAGCTCAGGCTGCAGCAGGGTGGGGAAGAGGTGGTTTGGGGGACACCACCCAGCTGCTCTGAGCTGGCCCAGACCAACTGCAGCTGGGAAAAGCCCTTCCACACAGCCACAGCTGAGTCACTGCAGATGCTGCAGCAGCCAGGAGTCATTCTCACACACTGACACACCAAAACCAACCAACCAAAACAAAACAAAAATCAAGTAAAAATAGCTGTGGATATAAGAATCACAACCCCACGTGTCTGACTACTAAAGAGGGATTTAGACCATAATCTGAATGAAGTGCTGGAGGCCTTTGCCTTCCACTGGGGGTGACCGATCTCAGCCCCACCAGGGGGTGTAAGCAAGAGGGACAAGCACAGAGCTTCTAGCAGGGCTTGTAGCAGCCCTGCTGAGATGGGGAAGGGGCGCTGTCCTGTCCAAGTCATGAATCACAAGTGACCAGCGCTGTTCCTCCCTCTCCAGGCAGGTCAGTAGTAGCACAGGTACCAACCTGAGCCCTGACAGCTGCTTTAGGGAAGTGGCAGGAGGTGACAGACAAGTCCTCGCTGGCTGACTGCCAGCACTGCTGCTGCTGGCACTACGTGAGGTGGATGCACAGCTCTAGGGAAGCCTCAGCTGGAGCCTCAGCAGTGGGAGAAGAATTTGACTGGGCAGCAATGGACTCTTCTGTGCTCATTACTCTGATCCCTCCTCCGTCCAGATGAAAATATAATAGTGTTAAAGGGGATAGTAATAGTGTAATGGGGACACAGCTGAACACTGCATTCAGCTGAACCTTTCACTCAGAAAGAACTTTTTAGTTAGTATTACTGCTTTGTTGGCTTTCCTGTTGTTGTTTGTTTGTTTTGTTAACAGAAAGAAGAAGGTTCCTCAAAACCAAAGAAAGTCAAAAGAAGTAAGCCTTCTATTTAGGATGTCATGGAGTACTGAAAGAAAATTCTCGGTATGCTCATTACAAAGTTAAAAGAGTTTTCTCTTTGTTAAAATAACTGCACATCTATAATAGCTCCTTGTATACATCTGGATTCTGATAATGATATCAAATGTCTCCAGAGGAATCCCTTTACTGACCAAATAGCTTCTAGAGCAAAATAAGAAGGTAGCAGAAGCCAGGATTCTTGGTTTCTTTGGACACTAGCAGATAAATACGAAGGCATCTTGTACTTAGTGGTACTGAGAACTTGGCTTCATCTTGTATTTGGATTGGCTCCTTTTCTTTTAGACTAAAATTAATCTTTTTTTTTTCTGTTGGTTTTCATTGGAACCCGAGCTAAAGTTAAAACCATAAACCATTAAAGTGAAGTTTTGTATATTATTTAATATTGCTATATGTAATAGTGTGGCTAGATGCCTTTGTGGTGCCAGGATCTAATCCAAGGATGAACTGGCCTGTCATGCAAAATTAATGAAAATTAGTTTTGTGGCCAGATATCTGAACCCACAGCATAGACGGTTGTTGATAACTGTCTTGCAGGATAGAACAAGCTTTAGCATTGAATATTCCTTTGAATATTAAGGATATATATAGCATACGAAAACGCCTACTTTTATTGTTCTCCTTGCTTATTGCACATTACTAGGACTAAAATATGCTGGAAGCAGTAGCCTTTGCAGTTAACTATTTCAGAGATAAGTAGAAATGTATTTACTCAGAAAAAAAATACTGGTATAAACACAACAGTCATGACAGTACAGCATGACACAATAGAGTGAAAATATACAGTATGCACAACAAATAGAAAAATACAACAATAAAGAAGCAAAATATAAAATGCTTGTCTTTTAACTCGGTTTTTGGCTTCTACATAAGGGATAACGTGCCTGGTAGCCTAGCATGCATTTTTGTCTCAGAAGTACACTTTATATCCTTCCATTCTTTGCATGGATAACTTTCCTCAGAGGAACATATATATCCGTTGTATATCAGTTGTTCCCCCAGTCTCTGGGGAAGGCCATATTCAAAATAGCAGAGCTGAAGTTCCCAAGCCAATCGTCTATAGAACTCTTCCTGTAGCTCTACCCTTGTGTTGTCAAATGATCAAAAGACCTTTGGTTTTAGTTGACAAATTCCATTTAGCAAACAAGAAGCAATCAGATATAGTAGTAATAATATTATTTTACATGAAAGTAATTGCTGCCTTTGCTGTAAGGAAACTATATGAACACAAGAGGATGCAGGGAATTCGCACAACTGGAGTTATGTAAAAATTTTCATTAATTTTGTAATAAAGGCTAGAGCTCTATTGGACTGTTTCTTCTAAAATGTGGATTGCCCAAGGCTAATATTTAGGAATTTCTCTTGTGATTAGAAGGATATGGTACAGAAATTTCAACAAAGCCATCTTTCAAATGTTTTCTTGATGTGAAATATCAAGTTAAAATAATACCTTTTTGTATATTGTATAAATGTTACACAATCTGGTTTTATAAAGAAACACTTTCAACTTAAATTTAAAAACATTTGCCTGGAAATTATATGTGGTGAAAACATTTGTGTTCTCATTTTATAAAAAAGATTCTGAAAGATTTTAATCTTTCAATGAACAAGCAACTTTTTCTTTTATGAGGAAGGAATACTTATTTCCAAATCAGATCTACTATCAGATATCAGATACAATCTTTGGACTACATGCATTAGTAAGTTGTTGGTACCTAGATACTTGAGCCATGCCCCAAAAAGGAGATGCTACCATAACGTTGTTGCTGTTATCCTCTCCATTTTTCATTGCTGCACATTTGTTCCGGCTTAGGGATAATCCAATTTACTTCATGGTCAAACATTTTAAAATGCTGAAGAATGGTTTCTTCAGATTCTGTCTCTTACTTTTCTGTAGAACTAAAAATGTGATTGGGTTACCTGATCTCAGCTAGTTAAGAAGGCGTGAATACACTTCTGCAATGGAAGTTGCTCCCTCCAGCGTGGCAGGAACAGTATTTTGAGGGATTTAAACTTAAAGACCCAACCATAAGAGGAAAGACAACACTGAGTGTAGTGTGTATTTACCATAGATTTATCAAGGACAGATTTTTTTACTTTTGCTGTGTAAAACTGCAAAAACAATGAACTTGAATGCTTTATATACAAACTTTGTAAAGAAAATTAGAATACAAATTCAGAAATATAGCAGCATTTGTTTTTATAGTAGCCATACAGCTCTGAGTTGCCATTTGATTTCTTTTGTGATCTAAGCTTTTTCTGTGTTTTCCTCTGTTCAGGCTTCCAAAAGTGCATTAACAGACTTGAGGATCTCTGAGCTTCGTGAACTTTGCTCTGTTTATTTTGTGTCATTGCTACCTGTTTCTGGATGAAAAATGGAGGGTTAAATACATGCAGTCAAGTGAATCCATATATCAGCTTCATCTCCAGACAGTTTAGTTAATAATCCTCAAATGGATTTGTAAATTCAGCTAATTGCTTAGAGTCCTTGAATCACATTATGTCTGTCCTAGTACTTGCTTACATACTTAATCACTGTTCCAAGTTATTTTGAAGTTTCATCTATCTTTAGCAATTCATGCAGAATATGTGTAGCTGTCGCTTGAGTAATTTTATCAAAATAAATGTATCTTCAAAGACCTACTTGAAGATGCAGTTATAAATATGTATCTATGATTGTTGTTCCGTAATTGTTGTTTTTAAGTGAATATTATTGTGTTACATGGAAATTAAGAAGCAGATGTCACAACACTAGCTCATAAACTCAGATACTATGCAACTGCAGTATAACATTTGCTTTGGATATACATCTGCAAAACTTTTTTTCTAAAGGAATCGGTACAGTGAAATTCTATGTGCTTTATGAAAACTTTATATTGTCATAGTTGTGTTTTTATTTACCTCATGTTTCAAATTAAGATTTTTCCCTACTACAACAAGATTTTTTTAATAATTAATATTTTCTAATGTTAACTTTTAGCATAGATCTAATTTAATGGGGCCACTGTTTAAAAGAAAGTGGTCACATCAACATATAAATTTCTTGTATGGAATTAAAAAAAAAATCATAATAATAGCAAATAATACAAGAAGAGCAATATATAGTCAGCAAGACATTAAATCTTATTTACCTTTTTTCTGGAAATTGGTACACAAAGCTACTTTTCATATGCTGTGGATTTGTTATTCCTTCATAGGCTTGACTATATGTAGTTGTTATTTTTCTTTCTGACAATATGGGAAAGCTGGTAGAGCAACTACATTTCTGCTATGCTACATAAATTAATGCTTCATCTGATCTGTTTCCTGTTGTTGCTTTTTAAATGCTGCCTGTTGCCAACATTTCCCTTGTATCTTGTTATTAGTGGAAGTCATTCTTCATTATTCTTGTATTTTAAAACATTTGCATCATTTTGTGTTATCTATCATAATACTCCAAATAGAGAAAACACAATTATTTTAGATGCAATTTATTCCACTTAAAATAAACTACTGAATAATTCATATGTGATGAATTGCCAAATCCTTTCTAGTCTATGGTGTGGGAGGGAACCTGTTTCTCTGACCCACCTGCCCCCCACTCCTCATAAAAGTGTAGTAAGGGGTTGATATGGAGTGGAAACACGTGTGGTGTGGGAGTGCTGGTGGAAATGCCACTGCTGATGAGGGAGGAACAGTGCTGTGGCTGCCTTCTGAGGATTTATCGATGCTGAAGGGACCTTTGCTGCTGCCTTTACCTTTCACTGTTCACATGGAGGGGTGGCAAGAGCCTGTTTGTTTCCCCTTTTAATCCATTCTCACAAACTGGGCAGATGTCCTTGCTGCTGGCAGGCATGCCTGGCTGTCAAAGCACAGAAGCCCTCACTACATAGGATCAGCTGGAGCCTCCATGTGCAATGTCTGCAGGCTGGATATCTCAAGGTCAAAGGAACAGACAGACCCACCTGCCCCACAATATCCTGTGATGTACATCACAGAAAATAGAAATGTAAAAGGTTAAAGCAATCCCCAGGTGTGAGAAACTGGTAAGAGGCTAAATGGCAGAAGATGTCACCTGCCCTTTGATGGTTAGTGGGTTTTGTAGTTTTTTATAGCCCTCTTACCAGTTTTCAAATGATCTGGCTCTATGTCTGAGTCAATTCAGATTTACATTTGAGAAATCTCTGGCCACACTACTAGAGGATTCAGAAAACTACAGCTGAGGTATTTGTAATGAATTTACATTATTTAGTAAACATAAACTTCCACAGAGTGATCTTGTTTATTTTGGATATTTTCATATGTTGGAGCCGTTCTTTGCCTCCATAGTCCTCGCAGATGTAAGCCGAAGGGACATCTTGCATTCTTTAAATTGGCATGTGCTCAAGCTCCATGTCAAACCCAGACTGAGAAGGTTACAAATTATTTTACAAGTGGTTGTAACAGCCGGGAAGCTGCTGCCTAGTTCCTTTCGTGCAGGTTTTGTACCAGCTTGTGGTTAATAGTTGTTTTCAGTGACAGTCAGGCTAACGCCTCTGCCAGTACCACGAAGTACTTTAGTGAGCAGAGCACTCTAAGGACTTAGGGCTGCGTGCTGACCGGCGTCAACACGCTTGTCCTAGCTTCATAGAGAACCGTGAAGAATTTCATGGCATCTCTCCTACTCGTGGAGGAAAATGATGTGTTGCAGCTGTGATCAAGATTCATTGTTCTGCCGTTGCGCAGAACTATAGTTTTGATAGCCCACAGGCAACGCAGAGCAGTGGCTCAACCTCTCACCTAAAAATTTGCAGCCAGGATGAGCAAATATGTTTTCCCTGGGATCTGTGCAGAACTGGATGCAAACTCTGAGCAGCTTAATCCCCCCAGGGTAGCATTAGATTCTGGGACAAAGCAGTCTTACTTTGCTAGAAAATATGTGAAAATTGTTCCCAAAGAGCTTGCAATTCTGTCAGGAACACGCATAGCTTCTTGCAACGATTGCATTGTTATTCAAAGCAGCGACAAGAAATTTCTTTTTAGACTCTACGTAAAAAGGATTTAAGCTTGCACCTGTGAGAGAAATCAAACGTGTTAGAAGCTAATATGTCTGATCGTGCAGGGTGGATCTCCTTGTCAGATAATCCCTTCTAGGAGGAGTTTTGTTGCAGCGTGAGAGCAGCCCACTATGTGTGTACACATAAATTTTATACTGCACGTGTGTATGTGTGTGTGAGAGAGCACGTGTGTGAATACACACCCATACATACAGCTGTACTTCATTACTGATGTTCAAAAACATTGCTGATAAGAAAAAATATTCCTTAGCGCAGAGTTCACACTGGCCAGCAGTGCTTGGTCCTCCCCTGTCCCTCAGGCCGATGCAGGAGGGATAATCTTCGTTTTGCCATCAGGATCCACGACACAAAGCTCTGCTTCCATCACATGGGAACTGGCTGACAGTGCTTAGCTGGCTTTAGCTGCATATCAGCATGAGTTTGCTGAAAATGATACTGTGTGCTTCTTATCTTCAAAAGAAAAAAATTATCAGAAAATTAAGTTAATTTTTCTCTGCCATTCATACAATGGAAAAGTATATATATATACTTTTATATACACATATAGTATATACATATAAAATATAAAGAAGTATATACATATAAAATATAGTATACACATATAAAATATAAAGAAGAACAGACCCACTGTAAAACATATCCCCCCAGAGCTTTTTGTGCATCTTGTAGCAGATATGACTGGGATTGTGAAGAACTACAATCTGTGTAAATTCAAGCATTTGTTAACCAGATACCTTATGTAGTGCTCTTTCTATTGAAAGAAAGACTCAAGAAAGACTCTGTTTCATTAGGTTTTATTTCGCAGGAGATCAGACACTCTGAAGGCTGACAAAAGCATTTCAGCTTACATCAAATCTCAGCACCTTTAGGAGTGTCCTTGCTAAAATGCCACCCAGAGAAAGCAAGCACTTGGTCCTGCGGACCAAACTTGGGTTATTATTTTTCAGTCTTTTAGTACTAATTGGATATTCTGCCTCTGCAGCTTATCTAATTTGGAAAGAATAACAACAGAATTGGGATTCTGGACACCGGTGGAAGCGAGCGCATTCCAGTAATGGGGAGCGCATGGCTCCTGAGCCCTGGGCACCGGGCCAGCCCAGCTTGGCATAAACACACATCTTCATTAACTCTCATTTAGAGAGGGATCGACTGATGTTAGCGTAAACCCAAGTAGTGTAAACCACCATCCAGATGTAAAGGAGAAAAAAAGCCCTCGGTTTCAGGGTTTCGGCCTTACTGGGAATACCGGGTGTGCCTACGTCCACTGGCTATGGACGCGCCTGGCTCTGGTTAAATGTGAGGCTGCAGCTGGGCGAGGGCTGCAGGACTGCAGTCCCTCACGTCCTGCACTCGGCCAGCAGAGCCAAATCTGCCGACCCCTGGGTCAGAGCGCGGTTCTCACCTACTTTCCCAGGCTCTTTCTGGGCTGGAGGGGTGTGGGAGTGGGCGAGAAGTTGTCTTAAATCACAGCGACAGTCCTTTAGAAAGCTGCCTTACATCTTTGACGTGTGGCTACAGAGATTAATTATTTTTAAATGAATCTAAATTAAAAGCTACTTACTTTCTGCATTGTGAGTCGGTGACATTAGCACAGTGGGTGTTTATCATGACAATTATGCTGGGAGTTTCAACACTGACTGCTGTATATATTTGCATCTTTATAGAGAAAAGTTGTCATCTGATCAGTTTTTTTCAAATATTACACTTGCTGTCTAAACTGGAAGGTTTAAAAGGTGCTGTAGAAGTTGTGTTTTCTTCTGCCTTGTAGCTTAACGTATGTGTTTTTTACAAACTTCATTGAAAAAGATCTATTTTTGTAGCATCATATGCAATTTTTGACCCAAGATCAAGATTTAAAGCAGTCTTGTTGGCAACCGAAGAGGAGAGCGCAAACTGGAAGATTTCACAAAAGGTCTCTGTAGATTGAGCAGAAAAATGAAAATGCAGAAGGAAAGCTTTTTGCAGAACTGAGCCCACCCTGCAGCCCATCGGGGACGTGCCCATCAGCATGCCCAGCTAGCATCTCATCCAAGCCTACTTAGCTGTGTATCAGTAATGGGATAACGCTGGAAATATGCATCACTAATTTTTAAGATGGCTACTCTTAGAAGAAAGCTATCAGACTTTGTGAAGAGCCCATAGAGACCTGTCAGGGCTACGTTTTATCACCACCACATTTTTATTTCCATGTCTCTGAAGAGCCAGGATCTGTTTAAGTTCCCGCAATGCTCACTTATTGTGCAGTTTCACACCGTACCCGAGGGATATTTGACGCAAAGTTTAGCTCCTTCACGTCAGCTGTAAATGCCCCTTGCTGCGTGATCAGGGAGAGGACT